ATTTTTATCCATTCGCATACGATTAGATATCTTTATTTTGACAGATTAATAAATTAATGTCATATAGCGTATAGGTGTATGATCAGTGCAATGAAACATTGACCCCCCAGAAGGCCTGCGGATGCACCAGCGACCACACCCCCGGAGAGCGAGACCCGAGCCCGCCAGGACCCATCGGCCCTATCGGCGGCCTCCCCTCGGCCCTCGCCCCGCCTTCTTCCCCTGAGTCTTCGGGCTGTGGTGGAGGCGGCGGCAGCTGCAAATCCTCGGCTCTGGTCCAGGTCAGTGAGCAAATCCATTTTCTAGTCAGCCGCCGCTGCCCCCACTAGTTCCGAGAGCTCAACGCGCCCTACAAGTCGGGCTGCGGGGTTCGCGGATGGAGGAAAAGGGAGACCGCTGCAGTTTGGACGCGTTTTTGGGGAGGGGGCACAAAGAAGCAGAGCTAGGGGTGGACGGCATGCAGGTCAGTGGTAGCCACAGCCTGTTTCTGGAAGCTGACGGCTGTCGGGGAGGCAGCTCTAGACGAACTGGGAGCGCGACGCCACCTCCGGCTCCGCGTGGGCTCGCGACCCCTCCCCCACCGCCAGCCCTCCTCCTCCGGGAAGTGCACCGGGCTTCTTCCCGCCGGGAGCCTGACCCCTCCCCGAGGGCTGGGAGGCGAACCGGGCCTGCGGGGCTTGGCCGCGTCGGCGGCCGAGCCCTGCCTCCTTTGGCGGGGAGCGGAGCCCTCGGCTCAGTGAAAGGACCCACAGTGAGATTCTTCGATCCTCGCCGCCTCCAGGCTTGTCCCGGAGCGCCTGGCGCGCGCACTTAGGGGGCATTTGGGGTTCCTGCGCGCGCCGCGCCCTATACTGTGCGATCAACCGTCCCAAGGTGGGGCTATTTGGCACCACAGGCAGAAGGGACAGGACGGAGGAAAGATGCGGCCACTTCCCTGTCCCCTGTTGGAGCGCTCCATGCAGCATGCAGACGACTTTAACTTTTCATCCTCGTTGCAAATGACCTTAATGAGGGTAGGGACATTTCATGAATCCATTTAATCTCGCAGTCAGGATGGAAATGTGTGGTTAAGAGAGTGGCGCCTCCAGCCTTCCTGTGTTCACGTTCACTTACCTGGCTGTGTGCCCCCCACCCCACGTCCCTACGCACACCTGTTACTTTTGTGAGCGTCCGTTTCTTCCATATATGAGGACTATATCCTGGGGTTGGTGAAGGAGAAGTTGAAGCACATAAGAAACTTCCTGATAGGTAGTCGACACTCGAGTTATTGTTGACAAATTCAATGCCTGTTTTTTTAAAAATGCGCAATTTTTGATAAAGGAGACTACTTTATGACATCTAAGAAGTTAAAATCCAACAATTTTTAAAAATAGGAATTAGAAATCGAAAAGCACAAACTTGGGAAAATATAAAAATTTCATAATTCGTAGAAAATTGAGTCAAAGAAGAAAACCTGTACAAGACAGTATTTTAAGAATTTACAAAGTCTTTAAAATACTAAGGTTTTGAAATGTATTCTGGGAAGTGAAGTTTAAATAATATATTTGAAGTTGATTATATACCAATTCCAATGATTATCAAATACCACCTATTAGCTGGTTTACTAATGTTATATATTAAGCACAAGATATCCAATTCACTTAGGACTACAGAGCATACCTGTTTAGATTTTTACTTTATTTTCATAAGAGCTTCCTACTGAGAGGCAGCCCTGCCCATCTTGTTTCTGACTTTTATTCTGAGCCCCTAGCCTAATCCTCTCATAGTCCCTGCCCAGCCTTTGACTTTTGTTCTGAGAGTAATGTTGATATGGAATTGTGAGCTTCCATATTAATAGATGCTTTAGATCTAAGTAAGTCCTTTCTTTGGGTCCCCCACCCCCATCACATCCCTTTCTAAGCTATTTGAAGCCCCAAACTGCATCCAGGAGGCAGAAGCCCCAAACAGCCTTCTGCAACAGGAAATTTTTATACATGGCAGAACTTCTGAAACCTTTTTTTGTTCATACAGATCACTTGAAGATCATATAAAGTGCAGCAACTGTATTGGTCTGTAGAAGCCCAGACACTCTTCTTGAAGCATTCCACTGGATGTTGGTGCTGCTTAATAGCAGGCCCCTTGACCCTTTTCCAGAACACAAGATTTAACTGGCTCCCCCACAATGCCTTGAATTTGATTCTTTCATTTGCTAATTTGATCCTTGGGGTCTGGGGCTGCTGTTTCTGGGATCAGCACTGCTGGGGCCAGACTGTCCCTTAAGCTTCCACACTGCTCCAGAGACACTAGTGCCCTTGGCACTAACTTGGCCTGCCTGATTTCCTTGGACTGCACTCAGTTGTTCAGCATAGCCTGCTGATGTGTGGGCAACACGCTAATTGGCATGCACACCCTCCTTCCTAAGGTCTTCCCTTTCCCATTCTCAACTTTCTACCCTTTCTATTTAGAAATTTTCTGTCCTGAATATCCTAAATTAGCACATTAGATAGAAAAGAGATAAATAAAATGGGCTGCAGAATGTAGTTTTAATTTTTTAGTGACCTTATTAAAAAGTAAGAAGCAGGTAACATTGATTTAAATATATTTTATTTACCTCAGTGCATCCAAAGTAGCTGGAATGTCTCTGATATTTTTTAAAGCTGTAAATGAGAGTTTAGAGTATTATTTTCTTCACTAAATCTTTGAATTATGGTGTGTATTTTGCATTAAATCATCGCATTTCTGGATATTGTGTTCCAATTACTCAGTACCATGTCCGCTGTATTTGACAGCAGTTTTTTTTTTTAAGATTTATTTATTTATGCATACAGAACTGGGGTACAGACCAGAAGTGCAGGGGCAGTGTGAGGATTCATCAGAGACAGTGGGAAGCAGAACAGGCAGATCAACAAAGTGGGCAAGACAGGAGAGGTCTGCTGTGCCATGCTGATCACCTCAGTGGCAGGGATTGAACTGGCACTGAGGTGTCTGAGACTAGTTTACAGTGCTGTGCTTTAATCCGCCGCACCACCAGGGAGGGTGGATCAAGTCAAGTCTTCCATTTTTCTCATTGCTTTTCTTCTGTTTTCTTCAACTCTAAAGTTATAATTTATAGCTTGTTAATAAGTTTAAGCTTATAAATCTGAATTTTGACATGTATATCATTTTGAAAAGGGCATTTCCATCACCCTCAGAATTTCATCCTGCCACTTTGCAGTATCTTCCTTCTCATGATCCAGAGCCTAGATGTCTGTTAATATGCTTTCAAATAGTATAGTTTTGTCTTTTCTAGAATTTAGTAGAAATTGAATCATATAGTAATTTTCTTTGCTGTCTGGCTTTCACTTTGCATAATGCCTAGGAGGTTTATTTTCTTGTATGATTAATAGTTCCATTTTGTAGTATGGTAATAGGTCATTGTATGAATATACCACAATTTGTACATTTACCAGTTAGTGCTTTTATAACTCATTTCCAGATTTTTGGCTATTATTGCTTTGTATTTAGGAAGCAAAAACTTAACACCAGAAATTTGTGTATTCCAAGTACACTTTTGCCTAAAGTAAAAGTGTGTGATTATGTGTATATTGGGAGAAATGGAGTGGACCTTCAGTTACAATAGTACAGTATCACCATTTTTTATGATGTGTTACTTTTTAGAGTAGTTTTAGGTTCCCAGAAAACCGAGTGGGAGGTATCAAGATTACCCCAGTCCTTGTTTAGAATTTCCTGTTGTAGGGCCTCCTTGATGGTGCAAGGGGTTAAGTCTTAGCACCATGAAGCTATCTGCAGCCACTACAGTTCAACCCTTAGCCAGGGAGGTGACCCACATGGCCCAGCAGACCTGTCTCGCCCACTGCTTCCTCAGCAATGTATTTCAGTCAGCCTGCTTGTCTGTTCCCACTCTGTCTCTGGTGAATCTGCTAACCTCCTACACCTCTGGCCTACACTACAGCTCTTATATGCATAAATAAATAAATCTTTAAAAAAGACAAAAAAAAGAATTTCCTATTATAACCACTCTCTACCAGCATTGTATGTTTGTTAAAAGTGATGTATCTGTGTAATTAATGTTTCAGTCTTCGTGTACTGTTTATGGTTTTGGACAAGTGTATAAAGACAATATCCATCATTATAGTCTAAACCAGAGTATTTCATTACCCTAAAAATCTTCTGTGTTTTCTACCTGTTATCCAACCCAATCCCTGTCAACCACTGATCATTTTATTATCTCTGTGCTAATAATGCAATTCAGGTCCCTCCGTGAGATTTTTCATGACTTTATAGCTCATTTTTAGCACAGAATAGATACAGCACAGTTTAATACTTTCTCCTGTGAAGAACAGGTTGGTGACTTAAATGTTTTGACAGTTATGGCTAAAGCTGTTAAACCTATGTTAAGGTTTTGTATAGACGTAAATTTTCATCTCCTTTGGGGAGTATGACTGCTGGAGGTGAAAGTTTGTTCGTTTTGGAAGAAAGAAATCACCAAACTGCCACAGAAAATGTATGATTTTGCATTTCCAGCAGCAGTAAGTAAGTGCTACTCATTTTCCACCAGACTACTTGTACCAGTACACCATCCAGCTCCTTCCTCGTTCCCTCTGCTAACCATTAAATTCTTTCACTAAAGCCAAATTTATCCCTGCTATCTTTTGTCTGTATATTTTTTTATCATTTATATTCCACTGGTAAATGAAACTAGCCCTTATCTTTCTTTTTTTTTACTTATTTCACCTAACATAATCAATTCAAGATCCATCTGTTTTGTCCCCGAAGCCACTGTTTCATTTTTCACAGCTGTGTAGTATTCCGTTGAGTATATATTCCACAATTTCTTTATACATTGCTCTGATAGGGCTAGAAATTGATGTCTGCTATAAAGAAGAATAAGTAGGCTTTGTTACCCCAGTTGTCTGCCCCTTTATGTAGGCCAGTCAGCCTCCCATTTTCCTCCCTGTTTTTCCACTCTGACCTTTTTTTTGTTTACCCATCTGCCCAAGGTTCTGTAAATAGAAAACACCTTAGAAGTCAGGGCTGGACAAAAAGGAATCAGGAAGGGACTACGATGACATCAGCAGTACTGGTAGACATCCAGGAGGAGGTGACCTGCCCCATCTGCCTGGAGCTCCTGTCAGAACCCCTGAGCATAGACTGTGGCCACAGCTTCTGCCAAGCCTGCATCACAGCCAATAACAAGGAATCGGTAATCACCCAAGAAGGGGTGAGCAGCTGCCCGGTATGCAAAATTACCTACCAGCTTGGGAACCTCCGCCCTAATCGGCACCTGGCCAACATAGCAGAGAGACTCAGAGAGGTGGTGCTGGGCTCCGGGAGGCAGCTGATGGCGATTCTCTGTGAGCTCCATGGTGAGAAACTCCAGCTGTTCTGCAAGGAGGACGGGAAGGTCATTTGCTGGCTCTGCGAGCGGTCTCAAGAGCACCGTGGTCACCAGACATTCCTCATGGAGGAGGTTGCCCAGGAGTACCAGGTGGGAAAGCAAGATGGAGGGAGGAACCAGTGTCTTTGGCAGGAGATTTTAACTGTATGCAGCTCAAATCTGACTTCTTTGTAGTCTTCCCATTCAACTGGAGGATGAATCTAGAAAATGTACCCTTCCCTCCCCCCAACTTGCCTAAGAGTAGTTTTATCTTTCTTTCTGTTTGGAGTTTGGAAGATAGGTTGGTAATGAGAATAAATGATGTAGTGTTGCATGGTTCCCTGGGAGGAGAGAGAATCCGCCTGTTTCCTTCCCCTTTATATAAAATCTACTTGGCCTTTCGGGTTTTGCATCCCAGATCAGGTAGGGCTCCTTTCGAAGTCAGCTTCCTCTCGATCTCATTCATTCCATGTCCACGTACTAAGGTGATTTAAGCTTGACCTTGTTTGACCTGATGTCTGTCATCTAGGAAAAGTTTCGGGAATCTCTGAGGAAGCTGAGGCAAGAGCAGCAGGAATTGGAGAAACTTAACACTGTTATTAGAAAGAAGAGAGTATCTTGGAAGGTAAGAGATTCTTCCTGAATGTCGAGGCATAGGAACGAGGGCACAGCATAGGAGACCAGGGCGAAGAAGACCCAATCTGTTTGCTCTCTGTTCTGGCTGGAAGAGCTTCCTTTGTTGGATCTCTGCAACCTGTTCACACAAGGGTCTGTTCTAATTGCAGGAGGAGTAGGGAAATGAGAAAATGTATCCAAAGGAAACCCAGGTTTTTGAATGCAGATAAATAGGAGAGGACCCCTAAGTAGAGATTGGTGGCCCCAAATTCCTGCTTCTGGACTCTGTTCTGTCATTTCAAGTCCTGAAACTTACAATGATAGGTTAACCATAAGCCAGTTGCTCAAACTTGGAAAGGGAGCTAAAGCAAGGCATGAGGGGCCAGTGAAGCTTCCTGAAAGTTAAGTCTTCCCAGCAATCACAGTCTTTACGTAGGGGACCTAGATAAGACCTCCTGAGGCTAATGAACTGGGAAAAGCTAGCCAACAGAAGAAAATAACTCTCCACTGACCCCTCCTCTTCCTGCAAGACCTAGCCAAGAAAGTAGAGCAGCATCCCCCACTCCTTAAGACTAGAGACCCCTCTCCCCACCTCCAGCCCAATAGACTAGCAGCCTCTTTGTCTTCCATGTTCCTGAAGAATCAGGTGGAACCAGAGAGACACAGAATCCAGAAAGAATTTCGTAAGTTGAGAAGCATCCTGGACAAAGAGGAACAGCGGCAACTGAAAAAACTAGAAGAAGAAGAGAGGAAAGGGTTGAGTATTATAGAAAGGGCCGAGGATGAGCTGGTCCGGCAGAGCCTGTCACTAGGAGAACTGGTCTCAGATCTGGAGCAACGGTGTCAGGGGTCGACAATGGAACTGCTGCAGGTAGGACTCAGGAAGGTGCACCTGACTTGAGGGTCAAGGTAGAAGAGACTGACTTTCCTTCCCTCTGACAAAGGACTGACATTGTGGTGGAAGTAAGAAAATACACACCTTTTTGTCTGTCTGTCTAATCTAGCTCTCTCCTCTGACCCTTTATTAAACTGTGCAAAGGTCTTAGGTAAAGCATAGGATGACTATAAATACAATTGCTAAGGGAGTGTCTCATTTTTACTATTTATAAAGGATGGTTCAAAAGCTTATTTGATACTTTGAAGATCTCAGGTATCCAGTGATGTTCTATAGCAGCATTTATCAATCTTGCACAATTGATATTTTGGGCAGAATAAGTCTTGGCTGTGAGGACTGGCTGCCCTGTGCATTGTGGGATGTTTAGCAGCATCCCTGGCCACTACCCATGAGGTGTCAGTAGCATACTCCTCTACCCTACCCTCTTAACTAAAACAAAAACCTCTCCAGACCTTGCTGAATGTCGTGGGGGAAACATGTCCCCTTTCTTCTTTGCCCCCCAGCACTGGTCGTTAGGTACCCACTTGATAGGATGCTGTGTTGGAATTTTAAAGATTTATTTATTCATGCATATAAGAACTGGATTACAGGCCAGAAGTTCAGTGGGTGAGAGGATTCACCAGAGAGAGCATGGGGAACAGAACAGGCAGATTGACTGAAATACACTGCTAAGGGGAGTAGCAGGTGAGACAAGAGATGTCTGCTGAGCTGTGGGGGCTCCTCCTTGGCCAGGGAATCGAACTCGTGCTATAATGGCTACAGATAGCTTCATAGAGCTATGCTTTAACCCCTTGGCATCATCAGGGAGGCCGCTGTGTTAGAATTTTTAAAATTACTTTCCAGCTAGATTAATTGCGTACCCAATTAAAGTACTTAGAAATTCTTTATCCCTTTGCTTTTGCTCTCTTCCCTAGGGCTGAATCATTGTATATGTTGAAACAAATCTGAACAGGGCTTTTGAGGCAACCAGAAGTCTGAGCTCTAGTCTATATAGGTTCAGAAGGTGCAAAGAGTCAAATCTGGAGAGATTTGTTGAAGGATCTTGAAGTGAGGTTGAAATTTTTACCATTGTTTTCTTTGTAGAGTAAATGGCATGACTGAAATTAAGCATGGTGTACCTGGTGTATTCGGTCTGCTCCTTTTTCCTGTGCTTCCTTTTGCTCTCCCTTTCCTGGTTGAATTATTTCATAACTTATTCTGGGATTTTCAAGTATTACTTTCCTTATTGATTGTTTCTGGTTTTGCATCTTCCTATTTTTCTTCTTGCCCTTTGTCTTCATCTTTGATGTTGAGTTACCCTAAGGCTCTTTCTTCCCCACCTTTGTCCTAGCCTCTCCACATTCCTCAGACTGTAACTGTGGCTCTGTAAGACAAAGGCATCATGATTATATTCTTGGTTCAGACACCTTCTAAACTCTCCCACCCATTGGTACGACTATCTGGTAGGTAGAATTTGAGTGTGATCTCACATCAGTTTTTCTAGACCTTGCCACCACCGTCACATTCTTCCTTCGCTTTTCCATAGCTGTGTGGCATTGTTGCCCATTAAGATTTGACGGTTGGACACAAGCCTTCTGCTCACAGGTTCTAGAACGTAAGCCCTGAAAATCAGGCTCGCAGTAGAGCATGCAGGTGTAATGGGACACACTCCAACTTGGTCACTAAAGTCCCTCAGCGCAGCTAACGTTGATAACACTGGGCATTTCCTATAAGTTGGTAGCTCTTCACTTTCCAAATGCAAACCAGTTTGAGTTGCACTAAAAACAGGCCCAATATAGATAAGAACTATCCCTGTGTTATGTAGGTCAGACTGTCAGCTTTTTCTCTAGGGTTGAGATATATAAAGTAAAGGCTAGCAAAATCAAATAGGAGACAAGGAGGCAGGTGTTTTTTGTTTTTTGTGGGGTTTTTTTGTATTATTATAATAGTTTATTTTTACATCATTTTGTGCCTTTTCCATCTCAGTTGTAATCCCTGTGGACTTTCCATCACCAGTTCACCCATGTGCCATCACCATAGTCCTGGGCCCACCCTCCCACCCCCGCCATTTTTGATACCATTCCCCACTCTACCCCCATAAAATGGCTCTGGTATATAGTTGCTCATTATTATTTTTTCCCCTCCCTGGTCCATCACACTCCTGCCATGAGTGAAACCATGCAGTATTCTTCTTTTTCTTTCTGGCTTATTTCACTAAGCATGATCCCTTCTAGTTCCACCCATGTTGCTGCAAAAGGTATAAGTCTGTCTTTTGATTGCTGAGTAATATTCCACTGTTTATATATACCACATCTTTTTCAGAGTCCAGACTGCTAACCATTACACCATGGAATCCTCTTTATACCACATCTTTTTAATCTAGTCATCTACTTTTGGGTACTTGGGTTGATTCTGTTGTAAATAAAGCAGCAATAAATATGGGGGTGCAGGTGCCTTTTTGAATCAGTGTTTTTTTGTCTTTTGGGTAGATACCTCAGAGTGGGATTGCTGGGTCATATGGCAGTTTGAGAAGCCCAGGAGGCAGTTTTACTCATATGAAGCAAGCAGTGGCAATGATGACGAGGAACAGGGTTGGTTAAAATAAGTTAAGTGAAACGAACTGGCTTAGTTTAAGGGAGCTCATGAGAGTGAATATAAAGTAGTCTAAATTTGGTGACTCACTGATGTTCCTGTCATTGAGGATGGAAGATAACAGAAGAGACTTCATGATTGTAAAGGAAAGTAAGTCTTTTTAGACATCTTGAGTTTATCGTTCCTGCAGCTCATTTGCTGGACTGTATGAGAGATCTTTGTAGAAGTACAGCTTTGTGGATCATTAAGACATGTTTGCCTTGAGATCAAGCAAAGCAGGTGAAGTCAGCAAAGCTAAGATAGAGAGGTATAGAAAGTGATACTTGTGCACAGTGATCTAGGGCCTATGATAGAAGATCCGTGTATATTTGGCTCCTGGAAAGTATACATTTTAAGAACCAAACTTAAGATTTAATCATGTGAGATTCATAGGTGCAGCCCATATATATGTCCTTGCCCATACATACACACCCTATATAGTCGAAATAAAGGATGAATAAATGAAATTGAATGATACCCCTACTTCGCTCTGTGGGGTTTCTGAGGAATAGTGTACCCTGGGTTCTTGTCTCTACGTTGTGGCCTTAGTGTTAAGACCATCTTTATTTCCATCATGTCAAGGAATGAGAAACGGATGGAATGAGAAACATGGATGAAGCTGTCTGAGAGGACAAGGACTGTTACTCTTTGACTTAACCTGTCTTTTTCTTCCCTAGGATGTGAGTGATGTCACGAAAAGGTATGTGTAGGAGAACATGTGTTACCTTTGGGATTCTTTTCCCATAAACCTTTGTATCTACTTCTAGCTCCAGCTCCTATAGTTTATAAATGTCCTCAAAACATTTTATTTACCCACCTGTGTTTGTCAGAGAAATTCTCTTTGCTCATATCTTTTGTCAGAGGAAAATTTCTCTTCTGCTTTGTCTTTCCAGGTCTAAGAATCAGGTCTTGGAACATCTGCCTTCAGTTACCCTTTCTACTTGATTTAGGACAGTCCATATTTTACTCCTAATTCTCTCCAGGCTTCCACTTTTCTCAGTTCCAATAAAACCTTAGTCTTCTGGTCTCACAAAGGGTGGCTTACACCCTGGGACAATACAGTTCTCTGTCTCCTACTCTGAAGTCACAGCCATCAAGGTGACAGTAGAATTGCCCACAGACCTGGTACCTTCCAGGTCCTCACAGCCATGTGAATATGGAGCCTATTGTTCCTTCTGAAATTTTCTGTCTCACTTTGAGACATTGCCATTCTCCTTGTATAATATTTCAACTGCTGTTCTGTTGGCTGTTCTCCCTGGCACTGTAGGGAAATCTGACATCTATATTTATGGACTCTTTAGAAGAGAACTCTTCATCTGCTAGTCTCAAAGCCTCAGCAGCAGGTTCCTGATGTTCTGCCTGTCAGCAAGCCTCAGTAACCCTTCTTGGTAGACCTTATAAGTTGACACTGACTTTTAAGTATTTAGAATTTTTTGTAGATGTTGCCAAAGATTTCCAGTCATTATATAATTTAACACACTTTTTGGGGCATAGGGGAAGTCATTCTGTTTTATAACAACAAACCAAAAAATGAGGTTGTGAGCAGTAAAAATCCTACAAAGTTTATACAGATTATGAGAAGCTATTTTCAAGTCCAAGTCTTCTCATTCTGAGACCAGGGCTCTTGAGGAAATGATGCTAATTTGAATATTGAAGTTCACCAGAGGGCCTGGAAGATGAGCAAAGCAAAGGCATTGGAGGAACCCAAGGTCAGCAGTACGGGAGATTTATAGTATCCGTTCTCTTTAGGAGTGAGGGCTGGACCCTGAAGAAGCCAGAAACTCTGCCCACCAAGCTAAAGAGTGGATTTCGAGCCCCAGACCTGAAAAAGATGCTGCGAGTGTTTAGAGGTGAGACGATTCATGGGATAGAGTTTAGACATGAGATTATTGTCCTACTAAGGAATGGATAAAATAGCGTGTAGAGGTGGCATTTGATGTTCGGGAACAGGAATGTCATGTGCTAAAGAAGGTGAACTTCTATTTAAGGGGGAAATGCCAGCTTATCCCTAACAGAATGCCTGCCCTCAACCCTCAGTCAGGTATGGGAGGGATGGCAGAGCTGAGACAGTGGGTACTAGACAACATGATTGTTTCTTTCTATCATAGAGTTGACAGACGTTCAGAGCTACTGGGGTAAGTAGAAACCATGCCCATTTTGAGCTGATGTGTTCTGCTCTCATTCCACATGCTCTTCCCCACACGTTGCCACACACTGTCAGCTATGAGGTGTTTGCACCTCCCTGAGCTCCCCACCACATAGTTCCAGTTCCTTCCTCCTATTTCCTGTGTTTCCATCTACCCTTACCTGCTGATGTTGTTCTTTTGCCACAGTGGACGTAACTCTGAATCCACACACAGCTACTCTAAATCTTGTGCTGTCTAAAAACCGGAGGCAGGTGAGATACGTGGGTGGTGAGTTGTCGGGGTCTCCCCTTGAAGAGCATTATGAATGCAGCATCCTTGGCACTCAGCACTTCTCCTCGGGAAAGCGTTACTGGGAAGTTGACGTGGCCAAGAAGACAGACTGGATCTTAGGGGTGTGCAGTCACTCGGAGGGACCGTTCTCTTTCAGCCAGTTTGTGCACAACCGAAACACTTACTCCAGGTACCAACCTCAGAGTGGGTACTGGGTGATCGGGTTACATCATAAACATGAATACCGAGCCTATGAGGACTCCTCCACTTCCCTGCTCCTCTCCATGACAGTGCCCCCTCGCCGTGTGGGGGTGTTTTTAGACTATGAGGCTGGCACTGTCTCCTTTTATAATGTCACTAATAATGGTTTCCCTATCTACACCTTCTCTAAATATTACTTTCCTACCTCCCTTTGTCCATATTTTAATCCTTGCAACTGTGTAGTCCCCATGACCCTGCGTCGCCCAAGCTCTTGAACATTCTGTTGTCTACACTCATGTCTGAGTGGCACCCTTGAACCCGAGGCTCACCTGAAATCAGGGTCTCTCCTTTCTGATCTACTTTTCTGCATCCTCACCCCTTTCCCTTTGAACATTTTCTCAGTGGACGTATGTGTATGCAGCAATGATAGTAAACAACCTTGGCTGACTAGTTACACATCCAGAGATGAGTGAGAGGTGACTTTGGACATTTCACCATTAAGTATTAGGGTACTTGATGGAAGATATTTTTGTTGTTAATTCATGAGATGAAATTTCGGATGTGTTTTTATCTTCACTTCAGTTTTGATACTGAACTGAAAGTTGAATTTCAACAGTTATTCCTGTATCTATTGAGATAATCTAAGTTATTTTAATTCTATTATTGGAGTACATTGATTTATTTCAGTTGTTAAATTAACATGAATTTCGGATGTAAGCCACTTTTAATTTTCATGTGTAACATTGGATATGTATTTGCAAGTAAGTTGTTGATGTTTTGTTTTCATCTGTGCTTATGCAAGATGTATGTAACTTGATATTCTTGTAACATCTTTGTTAGGTTTTATGAAATGCAATGAGTAAAGAAATTGCTGTATTTTGTAAGTATATGTAGCATTGAATGCTAAATATCATTATAAGGGTAAGGTGACTTAAAATTCAAATTTAAAAGATTGTAATTTAAGTCTTGATTACAACTTATGTAGATTTAAAAATCCAAGGGGAGTAATTGAAAAATTAAACAAAATTCTAAATCAGAACAAAATGGGAGAGAGAGGAAACAGATGGTCAACCCAATGCAGAGGTTTTGTTCCCAGTATAGGAGGAAAACATGATGTAAAGAGAAAATAAGGTTGATGTAAAGCACTTTCAGAAAGAGAATGATTACTTCACACCCCTACTCTTTATGTTCAAATAGCTGGTGAATTAGCTGTTACGTCTTTGGGAGAGAGGCAGTACATGCTGTTTAAACCAGCTGTGAAAGAGCCGATGCCATGGATGTGAAGGTGGAGGTAAATGTCAGGGAGTTGGTTAGAGCTGTTTGCCCATCCTGGTTGCCGGGCCCACTGTTGCCTGCTGAGCACTGCGCATGCCACTGGCCTGACATGAAATGTGACTACATATAAGACACATACCAGAATTTGAAGGCTCACTTCCAGGATAAAATGTAAAATATATTATTAATAACTTGTGTATTACTGTGTATTACAGAGATAATATTTTGTATATATTTAGAATAAAATGTTATTTCACCTGTTTCATTTTACTTTTTTTTTAAAGATTTATTAATTTATGCATATAGAACTGGGGTATAGGCCAGAGGTGGAGGGTGAGAGGATTCGTCAGAGACAGAGTAGGGATCAGAACAGGCAGAGTGATGAAGTACACTGCTGAGGGGAGCAGTGGGAGGGTCAGAAGTCTGCCACACCATGTGAGTCATCTCCCTGGCCAGTGATGGAAATGGTGCTGAAACAGCTGTAGCTACCTTTGCAGTGCTGGGTTTTAACCTGTTGCACCACCAGGGAGGGTCCTCATTTTACTTCTTTGATGTAAATACTAACAATTTTAAATTAGGTATATGACTTATATTCTATTACACAGTTCCTCCCATAATTCAGCTTCTATCCCTCAGGGAGCCCTAGAGTTACCACTAACTCCATGATTCTGAGATTAGAAACTTAGAAAGCCAGGATATAAATATAACTTCACTGTAGTCCTCTGATGAAGAGCAAATATTTATACATTGTTGTTACATATTAATTATAAGCAGTAATATTTCTGTTGAAAATGGGTTTAACCTCATTAAAGAGCCTGTAGAAAGAATAGATTAGGTGGGAAAGGCTTTTTATCACCATCTCGAGAAGCAAGAGAGAAGAGGATCAAGAGCAAGGGGGGCAGATAGAAAATGATTTAGAGACTCAGCCCATCTGGAAAGAGCACTAGCTGGTGAAGAGAGTTCTGTCCCTGGAGCCCTATGGTGCTTCCCCCAGTGGGTTCTCACAAAAAGGGACATATATCCCTGGTTTTGACCTGCAACAGCTGCATTTCATTATTGACCTTATACCTATCCTTGGGATGCAGTAAATGCTGGTGGGACCTCTGTGGGTGGGCTTATTCCAGGGTCAAGGTAAGGACTGGGCTGAGGGGACAGGACTGGAGACTATTGCTATTTATGGCTAAAGCTTGATAAAGATAAGAGGTACACATCTGACTGGTTACAACAGAAGTGGGGAGTGTGGAAAGGAAGCTAAGAGTGTATGAGCTAGATGGAAATGACTGCCAGGTGATAGAGAACTATGCCATTATGTGCAAGATCCCTAAAAATGAAACCAGAGATGAGAAAACAAAACTTACTCTGAGTATAGAAGAGCCCTCTTGGCAAAATAGGAAAGGTACCCTAAGAATGTCTTATCACCTGCTGCAAGCTGGCATCAGAGGGGGTTTCGGAAGGCAGCCAGAGCATCTTGGCTGACATGCAAGCATGGAGTCTATTTTCTCTCCAGAAAGAAATAGCCAACAGTGGGAACTAGAGTAAAAAATAATCAGAATAAGATATGACTCAGCTACTGAGCTAGATACTATAAGCTAGATACTACTACATTTAATGTGCTCAAAGTCCCCAATAGTTTTTTTTTTTATTTCTTGATCCCATTTATTATTTAACTCATAATGAAAATGGAATTGGACTTGACTGTCTTCTAAGGTGGTGAGCACACCACTCCCACAACAATTTACTGCATCTGTTTGCTTATCTTCCACCATTCTCTTAAGATAAATCTTAAGCACAAGGATGATTCAGGCAGATGGCATGATGCCTGAAAAATTGACACCATCAAAATATACTTACTAAAAAGATGATGCTAATGAATGAAGAAATGGACAGTAGAAAGTAAATAATAAAAGTATTTCTTGTTCTGCTTATTTCTTTAAGACTTACTTATTTGTTCATACAAAGACTGAGGTATAGGCAGAGTTATAGGGGTGAGAGGATTAATCAGAGACAGAATGGGGAGCATTGTTCTACTTATTCTACAGAAAAACTTCAGTATCCAGATCTAGTACCACAATACCATCCCCACTGTAGCCAGCAATAATGCCTTTTTTTTTTTAACAATTTCAGTTATTTGTAAGCTGAGCTCCCTCGGGTGAGGCTAAGGAGTGCTTCATCTCAGTCACTTAAGCCCTCTGCACCCTCTTAGTGATCTCTGGTTTTTCTTCATAAGCAAACAAAATGTATGTGACAAAAGATTTCAATCAACTGTAGGTTGTGAATTTTGGCAAGTAATTCATTTTCTCTGAGTCACTTTCCATGGTGTGAAGTGAAGATAAAAGCCACTTCCTAGAGTGGATATTCATGTCAACTTGCATGGAGAATATATTCACATACCACATATAATGTGCAGCCAAAAAAAAAAAAATGAAAAGTTTATTTAGTAAGAGTTAAATTCCTCTGTGACTGTGTTGTGTTCAGATCCATTCTAGTCCTGGTGCATGACTATCCTCTTAACATACAGTTTCCTTAGGAAATTACTGTTCTAAGCAACCTCCACAGACAACCATTCTATCCTAGTGTTCATTCTAAGTCATACTGGATTCAAGACATCTGATGGCTGTGGAAAGGATGGAGTAAAAAGGTGAAGCTTTAATCAAGGTCCTTTAATATCAGGAAAATAAGATGCAAATGCTCAATGTAAAACATTTGGAAAACAACCTAAAGATAAATGAAATTACCCCATTAGGAGAAAAGCCACCGATAGCATTTTGGTATACTGCTTGCATTCCTTGTCTGTGTGTTAGTATACTTTCAATGATTATTGGGCATTTGGAACTTTCCATTTTTATATCAACAAGATGTCTTTGAATGTTTCATACATAAAGCTCCCACTCTAAACTTTCCATTTTTTAAGCATAAAGTCCTACAAATGGCTACAGCAGCTTTTATCAATGTTTTCATGAAACCTAAAAAATCTCATTCAGAAAAGTTATATCTCTCCACTAACTATATATATGTATATGTATATATGTGTGTGTGTGTGTGTGTATCTTTCCTTTTGTGTCTTTTTCTGTTAGTTAATCATGAAAAATCTCCCTAAGCTAGAACTTGAATATTATTCACTTCCACTTTTCCATTTTCATTTTTCTCATCTGTTAACTTTATTGAGCTCTTAGGAAGATTAGATGGGCTAATATATGCAAAGTGCTGAGGATGGCATCAGACATATTATGATAAGTATGTTTATAATATTTTCATCTAATTTACAGTCAACAAATTTTTAAAACTTTATTTTCTAATAATTATAAAATCACAAAAAGTTGCAAAAGAATAATGTACTAGAAAGGTCTTGTTTACCCATCATCCAATTTTGCCCTGGGGTAACATCTTGCCTAACTATAATATAAAATCAAAACCATAAAGTTGATATTGGTACAAACGGAACTGACTAGATTTCACCAGTTTTACAAGCACTAATGTGTGTGGGCTTGTATTCCTGTACATAATTGTGACATCACAGAGTTGTGGAACCACCTTCACAACTAAGATACCGAATTGTCCTGTCCCCACTCATGCTATGCTTCTGTAGTCTCACCCACATTTGTCTTCTTGCACGTATAGTACCTGGAGTCATACAGTACAATCACACTTAAACACGGGGTTTATTTTGGGCCTCCCTGGTGGCAGAGGGTTAAAGCCTCAGCACTATCAAGCTATGGCCAACTACTGTGGCATGAGTTCGATCCCCAGCCAGGGAGGCGACCCACATAGCACAGTAGACCTCTCCTGATCCATCCACTGCTCTCCTCAGTAATGTATTTCAGTAGATCCACCTGTTCTGTTCCCCACTCTGTCTCATATATATGTGTATTTTTAAAAGGCAAGCTTTATTTTCACTCAGCATAATTTTGTTGGGATACAGCATGATGCCTCCTCCCCACCCACCCCTGAGCACTGTAGACTAACTGTCCTTGAAGAAGGCTTTGCCATCCTAGTCTTTGAAGATTTAGCAATCACAGATAGAGGGTATAGTATTTTTGGTATCTCACTGTTGCATGATATCTAAGGGCTGGGAGGCTATGCGGAGCACCATTCTGGGTGATCGTCCAGCCCACCATGGAGTGGGCATTCTTGAGGCTGGGAGGCATGCCTCTGGCTCTATGGCACACACCAAAGTAGCCTCCCTGCAGTAGCCCCCCTGCAGGTGATGATGCCTGGAGACACTGAAGCTGGTATAGGCCCAGGTTGCCATCAGATTTGCTGGTTTTCACCTTTCTTCCCGGTCTACTCTGCCTGATTTCCCAACCTAGCTGTCAGACCAGTTCTGGAAGAATCCAGAGGGTAAACAAAACAGAAATACATGACTCCAGTTGCCCTTCCAGAGGTCAGATTGCTGGCAAAATATATCCAGAACTGTGTGTGCTGGCCCACGCCTGCCAAAAAGACTTTGTACTCATCCTTGAAGAAGTCAAGGGCCTGCATGAAGAGATATCAGATAACATGGCTAGGTTACCCCTCCACAGGGCAGCTTTCTGTGCTGCTGGTAGCTCACATGAGGTAGTTCTTAGCCTCTGTACTGCTGGTAGCTGTCACCTACTTCCTGGCTTGTTAAAGCAGCTTGACTAACTAGATCTGGTCACCTCCCTCTTAGAGAGGACAAAGGCTACAGGTCAGGAAATCTTTGGGATTAATGCCTTTTCCAGCATGCAGGCTGAGCTAGCATCATAACAAAGGAAGGGTCTAGAGAGGCCCAAAGAGTCAAAAAGTGGGTGTTGCCCCATTTTTCCCTTTGAGTTATACATTTGGTATTACATGAAAGCTCTCCAGGGTATTCAAGTCTTTGATTCTGTGAATTTTCTAATCTCCCAATTCAAGGGACATTGATTACAGAGAAGACTTGGAATAGAAACAGAGACCAGCACACTAAGGTTGTCATCTTTTATTTCTTTCTTTTAAGATTTATTTATTTAGGCATCCAGCACTGGGGTACAGGCCAGAGGTGCAGGGGCAGTGACAGGATTCACCAGAGACAGAGTGGGAAGCAGAACAGGCAGATGGACGAAGAACACTGCTGAGGGGAGCAGCAGGCAAAACAGGAGAGGTCTGCTGCACCATGTGGATTCCTTCCAGGATCACCTCCAGTGTGGGGATCAAACTTGCAATGAAGTGGCGGCAGACAGCTGGCAGTGCTGCACCCTAACCCGTTGCACCACCAGGGAGGGCCGGTTGTCATCTTTTAACAAAGCCTGCTTGCCCCAGAAATGGCACTCTCTGCTGACCAGGGTATGACTTAGTCATATTGATAGCTGTGGAAATGCAGGCTTCTAAGTCATTTCTGCAAGTGGGGGCATGAAGGGAAGAGAGCCCTGCTGGGCTCTGCTCTAGGAGTTCATGGGAGCAGAGATGAAATGATGAAACCAGGGTCTTGGAAGGCTGACACTTTCCTCTACTGGAATCTGTGTACTTGCTGTACACTTAACATGTTGATAAAACAACCATTTAGATGGCTAAGAAAATACCAAAAATGGTTGCAAGCCCATTGAATTCAGAAAAATAAAGTTTTAAAAAAAAAAGTGATCGAGAGGTAGAAAGAAAAACTAAGTGACAAAATTTGTCTGATGGACAAATGAACAAATAATGATTGAGCAAATCTATTACAATTTACTCTCAAAGATAAAAACTTTCTTTCAGAGCCTCCAAAACCTTTCACCACTTAAGATCTACACTTGTTCTGAAGGGAAGAGGAGTTAGCACAAGTTGGCTTCCTCCTTTGAATGCAGACAGGTGGTTTTTACCTTCTGACTCTAATAAGAACCATCTGGAAAACTAGGTTTTCATTTATATCAACATCGTTAAGGTACATATTGTTGGAAATAACATGCACTAGAAAAAAGTGTGCTGCTTGATGAATTTTGACAGATTTGCACCTGCATAATTACCACATAATCAAGGTTTAGAAAATCTCCAACACTCAAAAAAAAATCTCCTTGGTCTTTTGTAGCTATTTTGCAGCCATCCGGAAGAGGCAGGGTCACTAGTGGTTCTCCTAAAAAGAGCATTTTGGAATCTTTCATGCTGAATCAGAGCACTGGACTCAAAAGCAGACCAGCAGGCAGTGAGATAGGCAGGCAGCTGCTCAGCCCGCAAGTCCTCAGTCTCCCTTTTACCCCTCTCCCCTTCGTCCATTACATGTACACACCCTCCATGCTCGCTGACTTCTCAGCTCAAGTGTCCCTAATCAAAGGCGATTTTGCCCGTCCACACTCCGTGTGCCATTTGCAATCACACAATAACACGAGGGACAATGAAACCTGGGAGGAAAGCAAGGCCACAGGTGGAGGCTGTAGAGGTTGCTGGAGGGAAGTGAAAAAAGAGCCTCGGTACCCCACGTTCACGTTCCGTATAATTGCCAACATTTCCAGAACCTTTTATCCCTCTTACACCCAACTCCTATACGTCTATCTCCTAGGAGGTGGTGTGGCCCTTTATTTGAGGTTGGGTCAGGGGTGTAATATTGGGGATATAGAACACAAGACCTGATGGGATGATTCAATTTGGCAGGCTAGATTAAGGCACATTCATGAAAATGGTAGGAGATACTTAGTAAGTGGCTAACCTAAGAAGCAGAAAGGATTAAAACAGTTTCCCAATCTCAGCATTATTCATAGCTTGGATTGCATATTCCAGACGCCTCTGTGCATTGTAGAATGGTTAGCTGTGTCCCTGGCCTCTACCAGTAAGTGGCGGTAGCGCCCCTCCTAACCCCTCCTAATTATGATAACCCGACCTGCCCTCAGACTTCCCCAAAAGTTCGCCTTGGCAAATCCTCCCTTTCCCCTGGAGTACCAGGGGGTTAAAGATGTGCCCCCTTCAGTCGTCCTAAAGCTCTGTCGCCCATTTAGCCCAAAAACGTTCCGATTTCCTCTTCCTGCAACGCCTAGAGTTTCATTTTCATTTCTCAGACCAGCCGTTTCATGAATAAACCCTAACCACGCATAAGCCAGTCCCCAGCGTCTTCACCAAACCGGCAGTGAAAACTCCGCTGGAACCTGAAGGTGGGGGATTTTAAAGGGCGGGGCATGGGGGTAGGAGACTCCAGGAAGAGTTAGTTGAGTTTTGTTTCTGCCCACATCAGCTCTCTCACCAGAAGAAAAGCCAGATTGCTGGCTTCCTGCTTTGAGTCAGATAGCTGGCCACTTTGAGTCTGGAGAGAAACGACCTTGAAAAGGAGGTGTCCAAGGAGGGGGTGCTTTGTTTCCTGCAGGTTATCCTCACTTCCTTCCTATTCTACAGTTTCTGTCTACCTAGTTGAAGGGGTTGGCATACTTGAAATGCTTTTTCTTTCTCTCTGCCTGTCTCTCACCCTCTACGGAAGAAAGGTCAGGGGTAAATATTGAATGAAGTTGAATCCCTCCCCATCTGGCAACCACCAAGAACTTTCAGTGGCCCTGTTGACACACCCCACCACCACCCCCTATATATCCCTGCCTGAGGACAGCAGCTTGGGTAGTGGTCCAGTTCCTGGTCTCTGTGCACTCTTTATCCTTCCTCATTCTGGGCTCCCATCTCAATCTATTTGCACTTCCCTAGGTAAGCCAGCTTGTTCAGAAACCCGTTCATGTGGGGGACCTCAGCTACTGTTGGGCCTTTTCATCGTATTTTCTCTTAGATACACCTTTGCATTGTTATCTCACTTCCTCACTATTTTTCCTTTTGTTCAGAGTTAATTAACAGAAGTTGATTATTGCTCAGCAGAAGCCCACAAATTCAGTTGTTTTGCTAAGAAGTAAGCTCCATCAGCTGGCACTGACTAGATCCCACTTTAAGGGTCCCTGTGAGCGATCTGCTCTTTGATTGAGATGTAACTGATATTTATTCTGTCATGTGTCCCTCTGTCCTATACATCCCTTTCAAAAGTTGCTGTGACTGCCTGTGAGTCCATGCTTTTCTCCTGGATAAGTTCCAGTTCTACACAGCTCTTGATTTTTCTCCCCAAGAACAAGATCCAACACATAAGAGGACAACATAAATATATTTATGCCATTCTTTACCATCCTCTTTCAATCTGCCCAGCTGTCCAGGAATCTTTATAACAAGAACATCAGGACAGGAAGGATTCAGAAGAAACGTGCTATGTCTTTAAAAATGCTGGTGAAGTTACAGGAGGAGGGGACCTGTTCCATCTGTCTGGAGTTGTTGACAAAACCTCTGAGTTTGGGTTGTGGCCACAGCTTCTGCCAGGCCTGCATCACTGGAAACCAGGAGGCAAAGAACACAGGAATGGAGAACAGCTGTCCTGTGTGTGGTGTCAAATACTCCTTTGGAGACCTGTGGCCTAATCAGCATCTGGGCAACATAGTGGAGCACCTCAGAGAACTCAAGTTGAGCCAGAATCGTGAGGAGGAGCTAAAGAGAGATCTTTGTGAGCACCATGGAGAGAAACTACTGCTCTTCTGTAAGGAGGATAGGAAGGTCATTTGTTGGGTTTGTGAGCAGTCTAAAGAACATCATGGTCACCACAGTTTCCTTATGGAAGAGGTAGTCAAGGAATGTCAGGTAGGACCCAGTGTGGGGACAAACAGGGCAGAGCTAGTGCTTGATGGGAAATCTCATCTCCCTGTTCTTTATACACCCTGGCCTTATGGTCCCAAGCCCTGTAATAGCCTGCTCTCTCTCAGCTTGCAATGCCTGAAGAGCTTTTTTTGTGTATTCTTTCTGTAAAGGTCAAGCCTAAAACACAGATTCTTGGTCAAGAACGAGAGGTTTTCCTTTTTCCCTTTTTGTTGTATGGGCTGGGGAAGTCCTTCACAGATTGATCTCAAAAGAGACCAGTTTACAGAATCTGCAAATTAGAACTATGACCTGGGGGAAAATCTGAGGAGGTAAATGCAATGTCCATTGCTCCTCTCCACAGAATGATTGCTGGTGAGCATCGTGCATTGAATGTGGAAATAGTGTCAATGAGAGGAGAGAATTCCCCTTCCTGTAGTAGAGTTGATACTTAAAGAAAAAGAGACTTGAGTTAATCATGCTGAGGGATTGGTGACTTCCATCACCCAGGGTGAACATTATCTTCACTTCCTCAGATTTTCTCCCAGGTCATAGTCCTTATAATTATAGATTATAATCCGTTGCTGTAAACTGGTCTCTTTTGAGATCAACCTGAATTCTTCCCCATTTATTCTCTCTTTGGATGTTGAATTTGACTCTTGTGTGATTCTTCTCTCACAGGAGAAACTCCAGGCAGCTCTGAAGAGGCTAAGGAAGGAGCAACAGTTAGCTGAGAAACTGGAAGTTGATATCAGAGAAGAGAAAATTTCCTGGAAGGTAGGAGGAGACACATCCCTGAGGGATTTCTGAACAATAATCTTTGGTCCCAATCATAAAGAATCCCCTTCCTCTTTGTTCCCCAGCACTGAATGAGTCCAACAGCCATTTCATTAGCTCTTTTCTTTGTCCTTTTGGGTATGGATTGGCGAGCAGACATGCTACAACTACATGCAGATATTGGAACTGAACACACAAAAAAGACTTGGGTTCTCCCTGGTGGTGCAACACTATGAAGTTATTCACAGCCACTGCAGAATGAGTTTGATCCCTGGCCAAGGAAGTGACCCACATGGTCCAGCAGACCTCTCCTGACCTGCCCACTGCTCCCCTCAGTAGTGTATTTCAGTCAATCCACCTGTTCTACTCCCTACTCTGTCTCTGGTGAATCCTCTAACACCCCACACCTTTGGCCTATATCCCAGTGCTTGTATGCATAAATAAATAAGTCTTTTTAAAATATAAAGATAAGATGTAATCGTGGGGAAGGTAAGGGAACTCTACCTTCCATTCTTTTCCAGTGAGTGAGGCTCTGTGGAAAACAATGGATAAAGCACCAAATTTTTCCTCAAACTTCAAAAGTGGAAAAGTGGTACTATAGGGAGGTGTGAGCATCTGGGACAGGTGTCTACAACCTAAACCTCCATCAGACTTTTCATTTTGCCCAGAGTTTGCTTAAGTAAGGTTTGAAGAAGGAATAATAGGATAAAAAGCAACTTTTCCCAAAAGTTATCCCCTTTCTTTACTCCCCTCCTAACTGGAATTACTGGGGGAAAATATTCCTCATCCTGGCTCCTAATTCTTTGTTCTGTAAACTCTGTTTTATAGGCTCATTTTACCTTTCTCTCGTCCATTCTTGCAGTATCAGATACAGATGGAAAGACAAAGGATACACACAGAATTTAATCAGCTTAGGAGCATCCTGGACTATGAGGAACAAAGAGAACTGCAAAAATTGGAGGAGGAGGAGAAGACGACATTGGATAACTTAGCTGAGTCTGAGGCTGAGTTGATTCAACAGAGCCAGTTGCTGAAAGAGCTTATCTCAGACCTGGAGCGTCGCAGTGAATGGTCAGAGAAGGAGTTGGTGCAGGTAAGAGGCACCTTCCTTCTCAGACTCTAGAGACACAGTTACCTTCTCTCCTGTGTTCTGGTGCATCAGGTTCCTGTAGCCCCGGAAGCCCTTCTTTGCCATCCATCCGAGATGTCATGGGATAGTCAAAAAATATCCGTGGATGACAGACATAATATCTTTTGGCCATAACCCTTGTTTTTTCTTCTTCCATTACAGTAATTTTAGTTGATTTCTTTGTTATCCACAACTAAATGACACTAATATGAAGAGTAAAAAACTCTCTTTTTTGCTTATAGCTGCCCAATGGCTTTAATTGTAGGATCGCATATATTGGTGCATATTGTACAAGGCAAATGAACCCATAATGGTGACAATGTGGAAATGCAGATGGTAAAAAGAGAAGTTACAGGTGTGGAATGGGTTGGCTTTGTAATAAGTCTAAGTATTTGGACAGAGATACCATTTTTGACAAGTAGATGGAGAGGAACCAACATAGTTATATATATAACCTAATATATTTTAAATATTCTGAGTTGTTGATGCCACAATTTAGATCTTCCTCAATTTAGATTAAATAGAACCCACTTGGAAACTAAAATCAGAAGAGGAGCAGCGGTTTCATAGAAACTCTGTATAATGATTTCTTTAAGATTATGGGTTCTGCAAGTGGAGATAGATTTACCTGTTCATTTGCAATAGAGATGAGTTTGATTCCTTTTTCTTGCCTAATTGTTTTGATAGGAATGTCCAGTTCAATGTTGAATAGAAGTAGAGACAAACTTGTGTCTCTTTAAGGAAAGAGTCTCTTTAAGAGACTTCCTCTTTAATGATTTGATTTCTCACCATTAAGTATGATGTTGTCTGTAGACTTTCCAGATACCTTTTATTAGGCTTAAGAAGTTCCCCTCTATTCCTAATTTATTAATTTTCCTATTTTGCTGTTATCATGGAAGGATGTTGAATTTTGTCAAATATTTTTGTCTATTTAAATCACCATGTGTTTTTAAATCTTTTATTATGTTACTATCATGTGTTATATTGACTGTTTTCTTTTATGGGGGGTTTATTTTTTTTTTTATTTCCTTTCCAAGATTTATTTATTTGTGCACACAGAACTGGGGTACAGGCCAGAGGCTCAGGGGCGGCGAGAGGCTTCACCAGAGACAGAGTGGGGAACAGAACAGGCAGATAGACAAAGCACACTGCTGAGGGGAGCAGCGGGCGGGTCAGGAGAGGTCTGCCATACCATGTGGTCATCTCCGGGGCAGGCGGGAATCGAACTCATGCGGAAGCGGCCTTAGATTCTCAGTGCTGTGCTTTAACCCGCTGTGCCACCAGGGAGGGCCGGTTTATTTTTTTTTTTAATTGATGCATACAAGAATTGGGGTAGAGGCCAAAGATGTGGGGGTGAGAGGATTCACCAGAGACAAAGTGGGGAACAGAAAAGGTGAATTGACTAAAATACACAGCTGAGGGGAGCAGTGTGGGAGACAGGAGAGGTCGGCTACAACATGTGGGTTACCTCCCTGGCAGGGGACAGAACTTGTGCTGCAGTGACTATGGATAGCTTCATGGTGCTGTGCTTTAACCTGTTGAGCCACCAGGAGGGCCATATTGGCTGTTTTCTTATGTTAAATCAATCTTGTATGTCTGGGGAAAATCCCACTGGACAAGATTGCATAATCTCTTCTACTTTGCCAGATTTGATTTACTAGTATCTTGTTGAAGTTTACATCTACATACATAATGGATATTGCTCTGTAGTTTACTCTCCTTGTGATGTCTTATCTGATTTTAGTGTCAGAGCAGTCCTGGCTCCACAGAACTAAATAAGAAATATTTCATCCTTTCTGTTTTGGTAGGAAGAATTTATAAAGTGTTTGTATTGTATTATTTCTTCTCAAACCTTTAACCAGTGAAATCATGTGGGACTGGGCTTTTCTTTGCCTGTTTCTGTTTTCCAGTCAGTCTCTCCATGTTTTAGGTATTTATAGTTTTTGAATTCTAGAGTCACTATTGGTAGTTTCTGTGTTTCTAGGGGTTTGACCATTTAATCTGGGTTGTTAAATTTGTTGACATACAGTTGTTCTTAGTTTATGTTCCTTTCAATGGTAGTACCTCCTCTTTCATTCCCAATTTTAGTAACTTGCTTCCTCTTTCATTTTTTCTTGATGTAGGAAGTTGTTCATTTGTTGATATCTTCAAATCATTCACTTTTGGGTTCTTGGATTATCTCTATTTTTTCCTTTTTTTTTTTATTGACCCTGCTGTATTCTACACTATGCACTATGACTCACATTTTCTTTTTTGTCCTAGGACAAGAGTGGAATCATGAAATGGTGCGTATAAGTGCCCAGGAGTGGTGCTTTGTGTTATGAAGAAAGGCTTGTGGTCATGAGAGTTATCTGGTAGTGAATCAGCATGAAAAATTCTCACAGTCGAGAAATTCTCATGTAGTATCATTTTAAATTGGGGATCATAGATGATAACTTAAGTGCACCTTATCTATGGAAAATGGACCAGATTGCATGATAATGAATTTGATAGTTAGAGTTCCAGAGTTAGGCTAGTAAGAATAATAGGAATAAGGGATTTGGCTTCCAAGCTCCTGTGACTTCAGTCATTTATTGCACCTTCTGCCCTTACTCTGGTTCTTGTATTCTGCAGGAGCTTGTCTTGTTGCATGGACAGCCTTGTCAAATTCAAAATAGAGAGGGCAACTCCTTTACATCTACTCTATTTACCTGGAGATAGAAAAGACCAGGTCATTCTGCAAGATTCTCTTTAGATGTCCTCAGATGCTGAAGGCCTCCAGGCTGACACCCTGATCTCACTATTAATTCTCCTTCTGTGAACACCTTGATGCAGCTCATGTGGGAAGTGTAGTCCTGTGTCCACAGTCATCACCCAACCCTGCAGTCAGATGTCTTACAGTTTAGCACTCACTCATGGACTCCTTGGCCAAGTGTTTTTAACGTTTTCTCAGAGAACTTAAACGTTATTTGTGAGCCACCCCACCGGGGTTCAAGCTTGAGTTGAGGTATAGATTAATCAGCTCTCCAGAAAAAAAAGGCTGACCTTGCAGCAAAGATCCCAGCCCTACTGCTGAGGACCTGGGAACACACATCTCTGGCCCCTTCTTGGGGTCACAGTGATTTTCCCACCTCTTACATACCTTTTACTTAAAGGTAACAAACCTTGCTCCTATATGTTATTTTATATCATTTTGTATTGTTTTCATGAAGTATCAAGGGAGGAGTTAATTATTCTACTTATAGAGGAATAAACTGCTTCTTAGCATTGGTGGCCTTCCCAGGGTCACACAGAGAGTAAGCAAAAAAGTAGACAGGAGCTCATTTCCTGGGATCCCAGGATCAGGAGCCTCCCTCCTCCCTTCCTCAGACTTCACAAGGCATCAGTAACATGGAAGGGAAAGAAGGCATTAATATTGGAGGGAAGCAAGATAAAAGATACAGGATCACATTTTTTGTCATTACTAGGAGTGAGATCTGGACACTGAAGAAGCCAAGACCTGTTTCCAAGAAGCTGAAGAGTGTATTCCGTGCTCCAGATCTGAGTGGGATGCTGGACGTGTTTAGAGGTGACAAGGGCCAGGGCAAGAGTATAGATGCAGGGTTCTTATGGCAGACACACAGCTGGGTATCTGGTGTAGGTTCATGGTCAGATAAAAGGGGGAGGCAGTTCAGAGACAAAGAGAGGCTATTGAAGTGATTTTGTCTAAGGGAGATCGCTGGGTAACTGGTTAGCCTCTCACTCACCAGTGCCTAGATAATCTCAGGGTAACTCCCTCTCCTGCATCTCCTCAGAGAAAGAGGGGCATTTGTGCTTTAGTATTTGTTTCTAATCAGTACTTTCGAATCTTCTTTCATTTCAGAGCTAACACACGTCCAGTGCTATTGGGGTAAGAACTTGTAACAGAGACCTCAAATCACTGTGTTCCATGTTCTTCCAAAGTTTATAGCTTTGATTAAATCTCATGATTTTGCCCTATAAAGTCTGCCTCCCTCAAACCCCCTCCTTTCTTTTTCTCAGTATGTGTGTATATATACATATACATCTATGGTCAGATGTGTGTCCCCTTCCCCAACCCAACTTTTATCGCCTTCCCCAGTCCAAGGTTACAAGTTCTTCATAGTCATCTGCTACCTGATCTTTTACTTTTTTTTTTTTTTCCTGCAGTGGACATTACACTGAATCCAGTGAATCTAAATTTGAATCTTGACCTTTCAGAAGATCAGAGACAAGTTACACCTGTGCCAATTTGGCCTCTGAAGCATCATAATTATGGCATCGTGAGCTCCCAGTATTTCTTCTCAGGTAGACATTACTGGGAAGTAGATGTGTCCAAGAAGACTGCCTGGATCCTGGGGGTATACTCTGGGACATGCCCCCACAATGGCCAGTTTGACATTACACAAAACACAGATCATGGAAATGTTTACTCCAGATACAGACCTCGATTTGGCTACTGGGTTATAGGGCTACAGAACCAGTCTGAGTACAGTGCCTTTGAGGACTCTGCCACCTCTGACCCCAAGGTCTTGACTCTTTCTGTGGCTGTTCCTCCTCGTCAGATTGGGGTGTTCCTAGACTATGAGGCAAGCATTGTCTCATTTTTCAATGTCACAAATCATGGGTCACTTATGTACAAGTTCTGTAAATGTCGCTTTTCTCAGGCTGCTTACCCATATTTTAATCCTTGGGACTGTCCAGCTCCCATGACCCTGTGCCCACCAAACTTCTGAATCTTCTGTCCCCTCCCCCGCTCCTTAGAGGTTGCCTCTTGGCACCTGAGCTCATCTGCACCCCTCACACCATCTTTTCTTTTGCTGATTTCCCACGTACCTTTAGACTTTTTTACACATCCATGGATTCTTAGTATCAATATTTAGTTACTCAAATGCTGAAAATGGGATTTTAATCTCAAAAAGGACATCTGATCCTTTTTAAAGACAGAGCAGTTGGTATGAAATCTTTGCCTTCCATTTCTCCAGGTTTTTCTTTCCAACTTATAAGTCCTTGATGTGTTCCATTTACTTTAGAATTTACTGCTGTGTGAATTCTCTTTACATATGCTATTAAATTGGGTGTTATTCTCATATTAATTTGTGTGATGTTCATTTATGCATCTAGTCTCAGAAAAACTCACAGTAGTCAGGGAAGTTTACCCTGCACCCAGATAGCTGTTAAAATAGAGATATTAATAGATGTATCTGTATATACTTTATGTAACTAAACTGGCAGGGACTGATAGCTATGTGTAATGAGTATTATTTGGGTATTGATAGCAATGTTCGAGAGACCTACTGTTTTATCCAAAGTTTTCTCCTCTGTTCAATCATCTTCCTCACTCAGTTCTTCCTCAAATCTAACTCGCACCCTTTTGCTCCTCTCCCTGTGAGTCCCTGAACAGACTGCATATCCTTAACATTATGGGACTCTACTCTGAAAGAGATTTAACTGAGAGATTTCAGGTGTTGTCAAGTGATTCCTGGAAACCTGGGTGAATAGGAAACTTGAATTCACAGTTTTCTCACAACACTCAATTTTTCAGCAGAGCTGAGACTACCAGCATGTTTCACATTCCAGCAGACCGTGTTCTGAGTTACAGGGGCTGCGGGGGAACTTTCTCCTTAAGACTCTGTGATTCTCCTCCAATCATTACATCTTCTGCTTTAAGAGGAACCAAAGAAAAAATGCCTCCCCATTTGTCACATGGGTTTTTAATATTATCCCATTTGAGAAAACCTTAAGGCATAGTAACAATTGGTAAGGTTAAAATTTGCTAATGGAGACAGTTTAACACTATTACGTGAAATTTTATTTTTTTTAAAGATTTATTTATTTATTCATACAGAACTGGGGTACAGGCCAGAGATGTGGAGGGTGAGAG